TCCACCATTTATGTTGGGTCTACTTCAGGAATGAGGAATGTTTGACTGAGTGATACTGAATGAAAATTAATAATTTTGATGAATGCCACTTCAGGAAAAGGAAAGTATTGGGATGGGAGGATTGAAGTTAGTCTGAGGATGGCAGTGACTGGCGTTCGGAACTCCAGTCCCCAGATTAAAATGCGGGAACAATAGAAGACAAGGAAAATAATGACAATATAGATTTTGCGAAAGCACTTTTAACGTGTGATCACAGTGTAATAGCTCATAGAATGTATGTTAAAGAAGTAACTGAAAAAGTGGAAAGATGGATCCTCATTTTTTTAAACAAATCGGACTCAGAAACACGAAGAGAAATACGAATGCATAGGATTCCTCATTGGGCATGCCATTTACATATACCAGGAACAGTATCGGTCCTATAGCTGATTCTTGTCATGCTTCTCCATCCTAATACTTCCTCCCAGACCATCAGTCTTTCCTCTCCGTTAGGTTCTTTGAACTATTCTAATGCCTTTTTGATTATTCTCATTTGGTCTTCTAGGTTGTAGATCAAATGAAATTCATCCACCCCTCTTTGTCCTGCCTGATCAGTGTTATTCAGTGTCAGAACTCCAGCAGGTTCATGAGACAGGACTTACCGTCTCTAAATTCGTGCTGATTGTTGTTTATGCAACTTTCTCTCCATGGGATCCACAACTCTTGATTATTTTTCCATTGCTTTGTATGCGTGTCAGAATTGCCGAACTATAGTTCTGTCCTCTTGAATATTGGGTCTACATATGTTGTTTACCATCGTTCAGGCAATAGCCAAGTTTCCATTGACGTTGATTTTTGATGATAGTGGTTTAGACTTGCTTCTTCTCAGAGTCCTCGGTGACACATTGTGATGTTCCTTTGGTTGTGATGTGCTCAATTTTCAGTTTCTTCAGTTCTTCCATTATGTTGTTTAGTGGTACTCTCTTCCATTTTGCTTCCTGGTGTTCCTGATTCCAATGAGAACATTTTCATCCTATTCACTTCTTTTTAGACTTTCTTGTTTTTTTTTTTTTTTAGGAAATCTCTTCCTTTCTTCTTGATAGTCATATTACTTATTGTCTTCCTTCTGATTGTGTAGCAGTTACGGTTGTGATTTATTTTGTGATGCTGCATTATTCTCAAATTGAGGCTCAGCTTCTCTTCTGGTCTGTGTTAGGGGGAGATAGGAAAAGAGAAAGAAGGGGACAGGAAGGAAAAATTGGGAGGTGGAAAGAGGAAGAGGTAGGGAAGAATGGGAGGCGGAGAGAGGAAGAGGGAGGGAAGAATGGGAGGCGGAGAGAGGAAGAGGAAGGGAAGGAAGGGTGATGGAGAGAGGGAGGGGTCGAGTTAGTGATGTAGTAAGCCTAGTGAGGTGGGGATGAGGGAGATCCTGGCTTACTCACATATCCGGTGTCTCCTTTCTGGGTCGACTGATGCTGCTTTCTCTTCTAACTTCTTATATTGTTCTTATTCTGTTTTCTTACTTTCTCCTCCTTAATGTCTCCTCTTCCTGTTTTCTGCTGCTGTTGCATATATTGGTTCCCTACCTAATAACAGCCTGGTTGACCAGGCAAGCACCAGACGAGCCTGGCCCATGGCCGGGCTCCGAGGGTCATCACTCCGCTACTCAGTCCTAGATCAGTTCTCCAGATTGATGTACTGATCAGTCAGGCTGATAGGTGCTAGTAACGGAGGCACAGTAGCACGGTTCTTCAGGAACCGGCTTGAGAAATTTATCAAGTTTTATCTTGAAGACTGGGGGAGCTGAGGCTTACCCGAAGACAGTTTCTGGGCTCAACGCCCCCTGCCTATGGTCCGGGCGTAGACCGGGACTTCTGGTGGTTGGCTTGATCAACCAGACTGTTAGTGCTAGCCGCACGCAGGGGGTAATTTTTTTTTTTTTTTTAGAAAGGGTTTGTAACTGAAAAAATACAATGAACCGTATGCTAACCTTAGATACTTTTTCTCCAGCACATGAAGTCGGGAAGGAGAATGAGTCTATTATTTTTTTCGTATGTAAGCGATAAACCCGTATGGGTTAAAGTCATGGATCTAGTTTTCTTTAAAGACAAAATGGTGACCGGAAAGAGATTCATTGGATGTTGCCAACATTGCAGTTCCTTGGTAGTGAGCCTCGTGGTGATGCTTGATGGAGTGCTTACACAACATCCTGTGAGTGAGTGTCATTGTCTCTTATCTCTGAGGGTAGCCGCTCTGATCTTTTCAGAATGAACAAATGCAAGAGCTGCTGTTTGATAGTCTCGTCCAGCTGGTCACTGGTCTCTATCTCTCGTCCCCAGAGTCTTCCCTTTGTTTTCCTGCCGTCAGTGCTCATGTGATGCCGGGTGTCTCACAGTGTGTTCCTTTAGTGGAATTATCTTGATGTGTGTTTGCGAAGCGATTAGCCTGGTATTGGGTGTTTTAGTAGCGTGTTGATTATGATAACTATTATGTTTATTAGCTCAAGGTTTTAACGCTTATCTTCAAGCTAGTACAAGGAGTACAAAGTAAGTAGTGCATATATAAAATATCTAGTTGAAGTCTGAAGATAACGCATGTGTATGTTTGTAGGAGCTGAAGATTTCCATCCCCCGTGGCTTGTCTTGCATTGTTAAGATCGCCTGTCTGCGATTGTATTGAATAAACACACACACACACACACACACACACTCGAGACTCGAACCTACGAACCTTAGGACAAGGTACGCAGTGCTTTACCAATCTACCCACACTGGACAATACCTTGGCGTGTAGCTTGCGCTACACGTTTGATCCAAGGCAGCCAGCTTTTAGGGAGAAGGCTTACAGCTTTTCATCTCATCCCCTGCATGCATCAGCCTTGCTAGAGATTTTAACAATGCAAGGAATTCGCGAGAGAAGGCGAAATACACACAAACACTGATCTCTGGCTGAAGGAGACTCGAACCTACGAACCTTAGGACAAGGTACACAGTGCTTTACCAATCTACCCACACTGGGGATGAGATGAAAAGCTGTAAGCCTTCTCCCTGAAAGCTGGCTGCCTTGGATCAAACGTGTAGCGCAAGCTACACGCCAAGGTATTGTCCAGTGTGGGTAGATTGGTAAAGCACTGCGTACCTTGTCCTAAGGTTCGTAGGTTCGTGTCTCCTTCAGCCAGAGATCAGTGTTTGTGTATATTTCGCCTGCTCTCGCGAATTCCTTGTATGTGTGTGTGTGTGTGTGTGTGTATATATATATATATATATATATATATATATATATATATATATATATATATATATATATATATATATATATATATATATATATATATATATATATATATAGTGCCGAATAGGCAGAACTTGCGATTTTGGCTTAAACAGCAACGCTCATCTTGCCATATAGGACAAGTGAAAATTTGTGTATGCAATAATTTCGCCAAAATCATTCTGAACCTAACGAAAAATATATATTTCACTGTGTTTGCTTAGTATTAAATTATTCTAAACAAATCTAAAATATATTTAGTTCTGTTAGGCTAAAATAAATTGTTCTTGTTATAATAAGGTTAGGTAAGTTTTCTAAGATTCTTTTGGAGCAAAATTAAAATTTTTTACATTAACATTAATGAAAAAAATATATCTTTAAACGTATAAGAGAAAATTTCAGAAAGGACTTAATTTTAAATGAGTTCTTGCTAATTGACCAGTTTTACATATTCGGCACGACATATATATATATATATATATATATATATATATATATATATATATATATATATATATATATATATATATATATATATATATATAATATATATATATATATATATAATGTGCCGAATAGGCAGAATTTGCGATCTTGGCTTAAATAGCAACGCTCATCTTGCCATATAAGACAAGCGAAAATTTGTGTATGCAATAATTGCGCCAAAATCATTCTGAACCTAACGAAAAAATATATTTCACTGTGTTTGTTTAGTATTAAATTACTGTAAAAAATCTAAAATATATTTAGTTGGGTTAGGCTAAAATAAATTGTTCTTTTTATAATAAGGTTAGGTAAGTTTTCTAAGATTCTTTTGGTGAAAAATTAAAAATTTTTACATTAACATTAATGAAAAAAATATATCTTTAAACGTATAAGAGAAAATTTTAGAAAGGACTTAATTTTAAATGAGTTCTTGCTAATTGACCAGTTTTACATATTCGGCACGACATATATATATATATAATATATATATATATATATATATATATATATATATATATATATATATATTACGCATCGGCCTTTTCTATCAAGATAAGGTTTATTTAATCACTGCCTTGCCAGATGCGTGCCGACATCACAGTTCAGATAGCCTTGTGAGCTGCAACATCTCTACCACTCCTTCCTAGGTCAGACACTTTACTTCCTACTTCCAGGACTCAAGCTCAGCTAACTCGTTTCTCCTGAGCCGTTCATAAATGTTACCTTGCTCACAGTCCAACAGCACGTCAAATCATAAACACCACTTACCTCCATTTATTCCTATCTAAAATGCTCACCCAAGTCCGTTGGATGTCCAAGCTACTAGCACGGTCAGTGATCTTTGTCTTCCAGCTCTGTTAACTCCCCTGCTGTAAACGGGGCTGTCAGCACTGAACAATACTCTAAATTTGAGAGCATAAGCAATGTAAATAGCGTCACCATTTACATTATTTCTCTTCATTTTACGCGGAGAGTTTAAAGTATTTGAAGTGACGGTTGAGATTATTTAATGTTAATCGTTAATATATTTTAATTTCAATTTCGTAGTAAAAGTTCTTGACGGAGTTGTTGTATAATTAAAGTTTTTTAACTATATGATAGCATTTTTGTTTGGCTATTGTTTTTGACGAGTGTTGAGTTTCAAGGGAGACCAAAGCAAATGTTTTCATCCTCGAGAGGGGATTGTTTTTTTTATTGTAACTATCTTGGAGTGGGGATTACTTTTTCTAGCTGCAGTTATTAATGAATGTTTTGTGTTGTTTCAGGGGAGACCAACGGAGATTCAACCATCGCAGAGAAAGGATTGTTTCCTCATGTCATCAACTTAGCCACCCGCGCCCGCATCGCAGCTAATGCCACCTGCGGCGAGGACGGGCCAGAGGTCAGTGCCTCATGCTTGTACCCTTCTTTCAGCTAGGTTGTGACTGCATAAATAACAGGAAAAGGGGCAGAATGCAAATCTGAAGATCTTAGCGTTCTTGTTCTTTATAATAACAGTTGTTAAAAAAGTGTTGAAATGTTACAAAATCGCCTTATTCTCACTCGTATAACACGTATGGAGTTTAGCCGGTAACTACACGATCTTGCTCGCTATTATGAACTAGCAGCCATATCGTTCTTGGTTTACTCATGGTAGTGAAGGTGCATCGAGCTTGGATACTCACAGTGAAGAGAAATGGTATAACTGCCACTTCTCTCCGCCGTGAGTACTCACTTTTGAGTGAGTTCACTTGTTATCAGGAGGAAGCGATAAACCCGTAGCAGTGATACAGTGATTTGTATTTTTATTTTTATTTGATAAAAGTAATGGAAGTAGGGTGTGTCTACTTTTTCTTAAATCTTAATACTCTTTTTGCAGTACTATGCCATATATATCCATGCACTATTTTAAGCGTGTAGTATGACCGGCGGGAGAAAGAGAGAATAAATGAATTTTAGTAACTTGACACAAGCTTCAAAGTTACAGTAGTGTCTCTCTCAAAAAGAAACAGGTTTCTGTCTCTGATAATAAAACGAGAGTTGTGCGCTTAATAGCTTGCAGTTAGAGTTGTGACTGTACATGTGTCCATGTCACTGGCTGTGAATAAGCCTCATATGATTTGATTAATTTACTCAAAATGAATATGCTTCGGTGGACACAAACATGACCTGGTTGAGGGCCCTTGGTCAGTTACCCAGAAGAATCATAGCCCTGGAGACATATTAATCATTATATAAATGATCATAATTTTTAAAGGGGTGGACGGGTAAGCCAGAGGAAGGCCTCGGTTAGATGACCAAAACTCCAAAGGCGGGTCATCATATGATTAAGACCCGTGTCAGGAAACACTTGTCCTGTTTCCTGACGAACCTTACCTAACCTAACTGCCTAGGATCCCAGGTAGGTTGCAGCTAGGTGAGGCTGCCAAAGACCTCAGCTAGGCTGCCCAAAAGCATCTGAATCGAAGGTGATGAAAACATGTTCAACATTACATGAACTTTAAATTGTGCATTAGTTTTACAATGGTAGAAAACACATTTCGTGGGCGAGCATTAATAGTTGACAAATACATCTTGACGTTTTGGTTCTTAGTTTTGCGACTAAAAAATTGCAAAGTTGTCTTCTGTGAGACCGGAAGACGACTTTAAAATATATAGAGGCACTCCGATTTTGCGAGAGGTTTGGCATTTTGTGTGGTCAAGACTGTAAACTCGATCCTGCCTTGTGGTCGGAAACATAAAACCATAATGTCGCGGCCAAACTGAGTAATTCGCACTGCCTCGCTTGACTCGATTGTGGCTTGTTGAGTTCCCACCTGATCCACAGCTGGTGTAGGGTTCAGCCACAAATAGGCAAAGTTGTGACTTGGACTGGCCTCTAGGGGTGTTTCTATATGGCTCACTATCTCATCAAGTTGCTAGGCTGGAGCTTGGCATAAGCTGTAGGGTTGTTCATGTGTAGTTCACTATCTCGCCAGGGGGGGTAGGGTGTGATCTGTACTAGGCTATAATATTTTTTTCTATGGCTCTCTAACTCATCAGAAGGCATGGATGTGGCTCTTCTTAGTGGACTATAAAGAAACACTTTTAGCCTGTCTCGTCAGCATGGCATGAGCTAGGCTATATAACAATGTTTCTGTGTAGCTCACTGATTTTTTTTTCACTCGTGAGAATTATTCTGAGAAGTATTATATCTTTGACTTATTATGTTCTGCCGATATTGTAAATATCTTTCCTGCAGTCACGAGAAAATATGACAACTCATGCAGTATAAACTACAGTTATATCCAGAATACACTGAGCTTTGAGAGTTTACCAGTTTCTCTCGAATGGTAGAAGTTTGCCAGGTTGATGTGGCTGAGTGAGCTACCATATTTGAGAATGTAAATATCCTTGGTGATGTTGGGTAAGTGGATTACAAATTATGTTGTAATCTCTGGTTTGGGCGAGCGTTTCCATTCACAATCTTGAGAGCTCTGACCTTCTCATGTTACAGTCGTAAGACAAGCCTCTTCCATTTATTCTATTTTTGTTTTGGAGTTTTATCAGCTGTATCACTAGGCTATTGTAGTTGACTGGCAACTACGATGCGGAGTGTCTCGTTTCGCGGCTTCTGTGTAATGGTTTGGTAAATAATGTTTCATTTAAATGAGGTAAAATAAAGTCCCTAGTAAGAGACTGCAGATTTAGTTTGATGCGGCTGTTACATTATCTTATTGTTTGCCTCGAGATATTTATTTGCTTAATAGCTGGTTTCAGCTGTCTCGTAAAATCACTCCTCGTGTTACTACGTTGCATACCAAGGGATAAATGTTATATTTGTTAATTATTCCCAGTCATCTCCGTGGCTCGGTCTCCTAAATTTGAAAGGAAATATTGTGGTATTTAAAAGTATTGAGAAACCCACGGTAAAACAATAATGTGTATTCTGAATGTAAGTATAAATTTTTAAGATTTTTCCTTCAGTCTTGCATGTTCATGAGAGAAAAGACCAACAGTGTTGTCAAGTGCAAACCATTCCTCTCTGGATGGTTGCTGTCTACCATCGTACTACCTATTGACACCGGCGGGGTACTTTCCAGTTTGATCTTTGTGCTTTGGTGCATGCTAAGTGCTCTTGTGCTTGCCGAGTTCTTGTCTTGATATTTACAGAATGTGTGTGCTTAGTGTGGGTGGCTGCGGTCCCCGGGAGGTTAGTTAACCCTGGTAGGTGAGGTAATGGGCGGCGGCCACCGTGTGTTTGTTCCCGAATAAACATTGTGTGGTGTAGCTGCCACCCCGCACACTCACTTCCTACTGAATACCCTGACCAAGACAGATGACTCTAGCCAAGAGAATAGATCCCGCATAAGTAATTGCGCTTCCAACTGCCAAGCAAAGTGTTCTCTCGGTAACTTTAGAATGGCATTGAACCCAAACTCTATTTATATAAGAAATTGCATAGTAATTAGAGAATCTAGGGTCACCATACGTCCGGTTTTGCCAAGACTTTATGGTATTGGTAGAAGTAAGCACTATTAATATGAGAGAGTGGGTGAGATGTTATCAACAAATTTTGTTGAAAATAAGGAAAAGTTTTGGAGTGAGATTAACAAGTTGAGAAAGCCTAGAGAACAAATGGATTTGTCAGTTAAAAATAGGAGAGGAGAGTTATTAAATGGAGAGTTAGAGGTATTGGGAAGATGGAGGGAATATTTTGAGGAATTGTTAAATGTTGATGAAGATAGGGAAGCTGTGATTTCGTGTATAGGACAAGGAGGAATAACATCTTGTAGGAGTGAAGAAGAGCCAGTTGTGAGTGTGGGGGAAGTTCGTGAGGCAGTAGGTAAAATGAAAGGGGGTAAGGCAGCCGGGATTGATGGATAAAGATAGAAATGTTAAAAGCAGGTGGGGATATAGTTTTGGAGTGGTTGGTGCAATTATTTAATAAATGTATGGAAGAGGGTAAGGTACCTAGGGATTGGCAGAGAGCATACATAGTTCCTTTGTATAAAGGCAAAGGGATAAAAGAGAGTGCAAAATTATAGGGGGATAAGTCTGTGAGTATACCTGGTAAGTGTATGGTCGAGTTATTATTGAAAGATTAAGAGTAAGACGGAGAATAGGATAGCAGATGAACAAGGAGGCTTTAGGAAAAAGTAGGGGGTGTGTGGACCAGGTGTTTACAGTGAAACATATAAGTGAACAGTATTTAGATAAGGCTAAAGAGGTCTTTGGTGGCATTATGGATTTGGAAAAGGCGTATGACAGGGTGGATAGGGGGCAATGTGGCAGATGTTGCAAGTGTATGGTGTAGGAGGTAGGTTACTGAAAGCAGTGAAGAGTTTTTACGAGGATAGTGAGGCTCAAGTTAGAGTATGTAGGAAAGAGGGAAATTTTTTCCCAGTAAAAGTAGGCCTTAGACAAGGATGTGTGATGTCACCGTGGTTGTTTAATATATTTATAGATGGGGTTGTAAGAGAAGTAAATGCGAGGGTCTTGGCAAGAGGCGTGGAGTTAAAAGATAATCACACACAAAGTGGGAGTTGTCACAGCTGCTCTTTGCTGATGACACTGTGCTCTTGGGAGATTCTGAAGAGAAGTTGCAGAGATTGGTGGATGAATTTGGTATGGTGTGCAAAAGAAGAAAATTAAAGGTGAATACAGGAAAGAGTAAGGTTATGAGGATAACAAAAAGATTAGGTGATGAAATATTGAATATCAGATTGGAGGGAGAGAGTATGGAGGAGGTGAATGTATTCAGATATTTGGGAGTGGACGTGTCAGCGGATGGGTCTATGAAAGATGAGGTGAATCATAGAATTGATGAGGGGAAAAGAGTGAGTGGTGCACTTAGGAGTCTGTGGAGACAAAGAACTTTGTCCTTGGAGGCAAAGAGGGGAATGTATGAGAGTATAGTTTTACCAACGCTCTTATATGGGTGTGAGGCATGGGTGATGAATGTTGCAGCGAGGAGAAGGCTGGAGGCAGTGGAGATGTCATGTCTGAGGGCAATGTGTGGTGTGAATATAATGCAGAGAATTCGTAGTTTGGAAGTTAGGAGGAGGTGCGGGATTACCAAAACTGTTGTCCAGAGGGCTGAGGAAGGGTTGTTGAGGTGGTTCGGACATGTAGAGAGAATGGAGCGAAACAGAATGACTTCAAGAGTGTATCAGTCTGTAGTGGAAGGAAGGCGGGGTAGGGGTCGGCCTAGGAAAGATTGGAGAGAGGGGGTAAAGGAGGTTTTGTGTGCGAGGGGCTTGGACTTCCAGCAGGCATGCGTGAGCGTGTTTGATAGGAGTGAATGGAGACAAATGGTTTTTAATACTTGATGTGCTGTTGGAGTGTGAGCAAAGTAACATTTATGAAGGGGTTCAGGGAAACCGGCAGGCCGGACTTGAGTCCTGGAGATGGGAAGTACAG